AACGACCGCTTTTATTTTAAAATAGGAATAATTATTGTCATACATGAAAAATAATACTTTTAAAGTCTAGTAGTGTCAAAACACGACAACAATTACTCATATTTTGAGAATAAAAAAATGATAGAATTATTTTGGAATATATATATGTTTTTAATCCTATTTAAGGTATTTTTTTCTTTTTGAAGCAAATATTTTAATCTCACATATCTATTTAAATCTAATTTAAATTTATGGCCGGGTTAAAAGTAATTCCCATCCAAAAGTCACAAATTGAATATTTGTTTTAGCGGCTTTTGTCGACCAGAATTTATTCTAGCAGTATTTTTGAAAATATTTTTAAACACCCTAATTTTGTAAATACTTTTCCATTTAGCATTATTTTGAGAAAAAACTCACATTAATTTCTATTTTCTAATAATTGATACGAATTACTATCTCCGTTCTCTTTTAATTGCAACATTAGACTTTTTGCACTATTCACATATTCTACTTTGAGTGTATTTTATTTATCAATGTGTTATAAATTAAATTTTTTAAATTTTTTTTAAATTCCTCTCATTTTAAATTTTCAAAATCTGATTTTTTTTATTTTTTTACTAATAAGTAATGAAAGATATTAATGGTCAAATTTGTGCATTGACAAACGTGAAAAGTGGACTGTTGCAATTAAAAAAGAACGAAGAAAGTATAATATTAAAATGAATATTGTTCAATATGGAACCAAATCATATATAAAGCTCGATCAATATTGCTCAATAATTGTATGTGTTTCTCCTTTAATTTCCCTTATCTATCAAAACCTGATTTGTCTGATCATAATATTGATGAGGTCGCAATCTATAACCTTCTTCTTTTGTGAGTTCTTCAAATGACATTTAATTTACTTGAATTGTCACATTATCTTTAACGTGTTTAATTATAGTTAATTAAGTTTCACTTGTGGATGTGTAATTTTATAACCAAAGTTTGCTAAATTTTGTCCAAAGGTTCATTGTGAAGTTATATTGTCGGATACCTTTTTTCACGTGTTTGTATATACACAAACACTACAAAAATATTATTGTACATTTATCGGATTTAATTTGGATTTGGGTTTTAATTTGGATTGATTAATTATGACGTTTATTATGTACATATATTCAGGAAAGTGTACTATGGAGAGTACAAGTGTAGTGGGCCGGGAGCCAACACCACAAGAAGAGTGCCATGGGCCAGAACCCTCACAAAACAAGAGGCCTTGCCATTCATTGGCCCGTATTTCATTCATGCTCACTCCTGGCTTCTCCAACCTCCAACCTAACTCTCTCTCTCTCTCTCTCTCTCTCATAATACCTATTATTGTTTGCTATTAAAGTATTAAATGATAGTTAGCAAGTTAATTTGTTGGTGCTTGTCACTTAATGTCTGACTCTCTTGTTATTCTTGGTGCTTAATTGTCATAGTTTATGAGTTTGAGTGGCAACTTAATTATACCATTACACATTTACATCATCTATATGAATATAAAGGAATATGTGTTCGTACATTATTTTATTGCTCAAGGAAAAATTAAAATTTTGGAATTTTTTATGGTTTATTACATAGTGGCATCTCAATTTTTATGAGAGACTATACTACTACATTGTTGTCCTAATGTTACATCAAATTAAATAGGTAACATTAACCCAAGAGTGTTACTTATTTCAACTATTGTAGCTATGTGATCATATATTGTTTTCATCATCTAATGTATTCTTGTAGTATTTTCATTTACATGTTTTTTTTTCATTTACATGTTATAATTGTAGTTTCGTCTTCTTTTTATTTGTGCAGTTGATCATTCTTCAATTCTGCTTTTGCATATATACGACATTATAATGATTTTCTTTTTTGAAAAACTGTGTTAGTTATAGAAGTAGAAGTTGAAGTTTACGAGCTCATGGAAAAAACTATATTTTTAGAGAAATAATCATTTGTTTATATAATGATTATGCTTTTAGGATTGGTTTTGGACTCAATATTGTACTTTAAGGAAGAGAGAAAGTGGGATTGATTTTGGGGGAAGTGTTCACGGAATTGGTCGGATAAACCTGCAAAAAAGCGTTTAGAAAATAATGCAGCTCGAGTAGCGTAAACATTGTCCTCAAGAAAGTATTTCCTACTAGAGAAAACCTTTCCCCAAGATAAAACGAGTTTTTCGGCGTAAATCGGTAACAGAACAACGAGAATACAAAACAAATAGTAATCCACCGGAGTGAAAATATTAGATGATGTTTAGCTCAACTTTATTATGTATGAACTAGTAGCCAAGTACAGTAGTACTCCATCAAAAGAACCTACTCACCTTAGCCGCATGCTAAGTATATATATATATATATATATATATATATATATATATATATATATATATATATATATATATATATATATATATATATATATACACACACACATATATACATACATATATATATATATATACACACATATATACATACATATATATATATACATATATATATATATATACATATACATATATATATATATATATATACACTATATTTAGAACGTACGTTATAAATATGCTTTAATAAAAATTAAAGCTAGCAACAATTTTAAAAACTCAAAAGAAAAACTCATTAATGATCAACAATTGATCAATAGTTTGTAACGTTCTAACATAATGTTAAAAAACTTATTTTCATTATAGTTATTATTTTATTATATGTATATGATGTAAACATTTATTAATAAATTAGTGTGTGGAAAAATAATTAAAAGATGTAACATTTTATTCAATTGAAATACTCCCAATTTTTCCAACAATCCCCCACATATTTCAAAATGAATATTTTGAGAATATTGAAAATTGTTTAGAAAATTTCTGCTGGATTAAAGAAATGAGATTTTAAGTTTAGTGTCCGTAGACTATGAACCAAACGGCGACGATTAAGTCTTAATACACCGAGCTTTTGGTTAAACGTATAGTTTATTGAACCAACAAGTTACTATTGATAAATCAGAGTCTTAAAGGTCGTGTCTTACCCCGCACAATTTCTCGTTATTACACTGTTGTGCACCGTAAGGCTATGCGTGTGTTTGGTGTTCATAAGTGCTCTAGAAGTTTTGTCATGCTTCATAGAGGTGGCCCCACCTCACAATCGTATAGGTGATATCATTGGGGGAATCCGGTGCACTCTTTTTCCCTCATTAGGATTTTTTCCCACAGGGTTTTTTCTAATGAGGTTTTTAACGAGGCATCCCCCCAAAATGAAACGAAAAGCGTCAGCCTTCGGCCCACAACAGCAACTACTCTACTCCTTTTTACCACTTTACAAGTGCCTCAAGGAGTGGGGGACTGGAGGCCCCCTCGGGAAAATCATTAAATTACAAAATTAGTGAAATTCCAACAAACGACAAAGCAAGCCCTCAAGTCCCGACATGTGGGTAACTGAGGGACTGCCTTCGGCAGGGACATAAAAGCAACAACTCCTCACCAACTTCAGAGATCACGACAGGACAACATCAAAGGGCAAGCACAAATTACTCCTTTTCCCTCAAAATACCTTTCGGCAAAAGGAGTGAGGAACTCCTGATGGAGTATATGGCCCGGGAACACCCGTCCCACAGACTCCTACTACTCCAGTAGAGGCCCAACAGGCCCAGAAGGCCCAACAGGCCCAAATCACGACGCCCAGAGTACCAAGCAGCCCGCAATACGCACCAGGGGTGCCTTCGGCCCCCTGGCCGAAGGCTCCAAACTATCACAGCATGGATATTTCGAACAAACAGAGGAACTGGGAGAAAACGGCGAAAATAGTAGCCCTCGGCACCTGGAGCCCTCGGCACCTGGAGCCCTCGGCACTCAGGGGTCCTCGGCACTAAGAGCCCTCGGCTAGTCCTCTGCAGCCCAGGGCTCCTCTCCCGACATGATATCCGCCTCACATGCGTACAGATCACCGTACCCTGTACAAGACGTCCCATCCAACAGCCGCATTAAATGCGGCCACATGCGGCTGCCAACGCCAACCAGTTGAGGTGATCCCTCGGCCAATAGGCGCTTGACACGTGTCCCTGCCCGGCATTTATTGCTACTATAAATAGCACCTCATTTCCCCATTTGTAACCACGCTGAAAACGCTCCACATTTATAATACACTCTCTCTCTCTACATTTACTTGCTCTGACTTCTCTCTAAGTTATTCCCAGCAATAACCCCTCGGATATATACCCCCGGGTAGACTATCCATCACCTTTTTTGTAAAGAATTTGTGGTTCACAACATTTCTTACACATTTCTCTCTCCTCTGCACAACTCTTCACCACACAATACTCACTATCTTAAACTGTGTGTCAAACCTGTTTGGAAGTTATAATAGGAACGGAGGGAGTACGTGGTATATACTCCCTCGGTCCCAAAAACAACTTCCCACTTTCCTTAAATGGATGTCCCAAAATTAACTTCACACTTCTTCCCACTTCCTTATTTGGGAAATTATCTACATCAAAACAGTGTCAAACAGTGTTAAACAGTTTTCAAACAGCGTCAAAATAGTAAAATTTACCCCCAGTAAATTTATTTCCTTAATGTATGTGAAAAACGAAGTGTGAAGTTGTTTTTGGGACGAATGGAGTATATATATCTTAAAAATTCTCACATTTTTTAATCATACTCCTCATAATTTTCTCATCAAAATATAAGCATAGTACTCCGTATTGCGTAGCACTTAGCTCGGGACATGTATAATTATATGCATGGAATTGCGGACATGGTTTGATGAGCTAACCTACTTTTGTGCCTGACTTTATTTTGTCCTGGTTTGACCGCCTCAAATCTCCGACCTTTGACCAACTCAAAATAGGTGCATATATATTGTCCTGAGTTGATCTGTCGAGGTCTAAATTCATGGATTTGCCCCACGTGGCACACGTGCGCTATTACAGGCACCACTTATATATTCACCACACACACTATCCTAGCTAGCTACTTGCATGCAAATTAAGCTCCGATCCCATCCCAAACATCCCCAAATAAAGCAATTAATTTAATCACTTTGGCTAATTACTACATACTCTTCAATACAGTGTGGTTATTACTATTATTATTTTTACGGAGTATTTCATTACCGTATGCATGCATGTGTACGTAGTACGTGCGAAATAAACAAGATGGCTAATGATCATTGCTATTTTTATCATATTACCAAAAAGTTGGAATCAATTAAGTTGTTAATCATAGTGATTCTTCTGGTTGATCGTCAGCGATTGGGAGCCATAGGCGGCGGTGGCCGGAAAGATAACAGCACTTCCGACCACGGGCAGCTGGAGAAATGGAACTTGATAAGGAGTTATGGGCGGAGGATGATGATGACGAAAGGATCCGCCACCATTGTCAACCGTGGTGATGGTGGTCGTGGTGGTGGTTTATCTCCACGGCTAGACCCGAAGCTGAGGAATGCGGAGATGAATAAGATGGAAATAAGAGTGAGTCAAGATGGGAAAGGAGACTTCAAGACCATCCAAAAGGCCATTGATAGCATTCCACCCCACAATGCTCGGAGAGTCCTGATATACATTCATCCCGGCCTCTATAGGTATCACTGCTCGAGATTTTTATCTATGTTTTACTCCTATTTTGAGGGATTCTTTTTTTTTTAAATTCTATAACTTCATCACATACCAATAAATATGTTGTACTTGTACGTACAACACCAAATGTTGTCGTATATCTTAACGAAATGGGAGGATTTGACTATGCATCCTGTTTTGTGGATGATATGGAACTTTACAACATATTTTTAGAAAAATTAAGGAAAAAATGCAAAAATGCACATATAGAAAATTGGACGCATTAATTAAAAGATTCATATGAATCCTAATTAAGAAATTATTATAATTATATACTATCGTATCAAACAACTTAAATAAGACAGAAAACTTTGAGGTGAGGCCGTGAGGGACGTGACTGAAAAATTTGAAGCTAAGAACAAAAAACTGATGAAACCTAGAGGGTAATTAAGAACTACTGTAATAGATAAAGACATCGTGTAGTACTAAACATACCTAATATAAGACGGTCACAAGTATATATGAATTAATTAAAAAGAAGAAGAAATAGAATTAATTACAAACATCCCACCTAAAAAATTTAAGGTGTTTTTTTATGGGAGAACTATCAAATAAGTCCTCGAAATTTAATAAAAAATGCAAATAAGTCCTTTTATAGGAGACTTTGTCCGGCCGTCATCATTTGGGGTAATTTATTCATACCAAATTTAAGTTAAAAATTCAATCGAGAAGGCAGTCAAATGATTTTCTGAAATATACTGCGCTTTCTAACTGCGCAGTTATCTTCAAAAATTCATTTGACTACCTTCCCGATTGAATTTTAGATGAAATTTGGTATGAGTAAACTAGACTTAATTAACAAGATGCTCAAAAAATTCATCAAAATATTCCACCGGAAACCACCCCAAATGGTGACAACCGGACACAGCCTCCTATAAAAGGGTTTATTTGCACTTTTTATGAATATGCTTGTACTTATACAAAAATGTTGAATTCCCTGCCATTTGTGTTGCAGGGAAAAGGTCCACATATCCAAAAAATTGCCATTTTTGACGTTAATAGCCGGGAATTCAAGTGATCCGCCAAAGATCTCCGGCAACGACACCGCCTCCGACATGGGACGTGACGGGCGGCCCTTGAGGACATTCCATAGCGCTACCGTCGCCATCGATGCCGACTATTTTGTTGCCGTCAACATCCTTTTTGAGGTCATTATTTAGCTCCATCCTGTCACTCCAATTTATGATTTCATCCATCCATCAATTATACACTTAAATCATTTTGAAATATTTTAAACATTATTACATAATAATATTATAATGTTAATTTCATAGTCGGCATGTGGCCACATTTAGCCGGTGGTTAGATGCGACTTCCCGTGAATTTTTTTGATAAAGTTGTTTAACATGTTCTTCAAAAATTGTAGATTATGCATAGAAAGTTTCAGCTTAAAATTTAATCGGAAAGACAGTTGATTAACTTCTCGATTAAATTTTAAACTGAAATTTTCTGGAAATAATCTACATGTTATGAAGAACACGCTAAAAAGATTTCCGCTGAGAACCGCCTCAAACAACGACGGACGGACAAACGATTCTTTTCCTTCCAAAATATCGCATAGTTTTTAGTTCCATCATTTATTGGTCTAAGTACAACTTTCCACCAACAAAGACAAAAATATCAATGAATGTGAGAATGTGGAACCATAGGTGTTTTCTTCCTAAATACTACTCCGTAGAATATAATTATTCTTTTTCTTAATTAAATAGGAATAAAGTATACTTCTTGTACTGAAGTAGCTATTAAAATTTGTTAAATTTTGATTGAAGTTGTTGCAATTTGTTGAAATTTGATTGAAATTTGTAAAATTTTGATTGAAGTCGTTGAATTGTCAAGTACGTGTACGTGAATACGTATGTGATGATGTTAAATCCATATATATATATATATATATGCATGTGATGGATAGTGCAGAACACGGCGAAAGCTGACGTGGGGAGATCGGTGAACGGCGAGCAAGGGGTGGCGCTCCGAATCACCGGCACCAAAGCCGCCTTCTTCAACTGCGGCTTCTACGGCAGCCAAGACACCCTCTACGACCACAAGGGCCTCCACTATTTCAAGAACTGCTTCATCCAGGGCGCCGTTGACTTCATTTTCGGCTACGGCAGATCCCTCTACCAGAACTGCCACCTGAAGTCGGTGGCGCAGAACGGCGTCGCGGCTTCCCTGACGGCGCAGAAGCGGACGGCGAAGTCGTTCGCTAGTGGTTTTTCTTTTACCAACTGCACCGTCACGGGGAGCGGGTCGGTTTACTTGGGCAGAGCTTGGGGTGATTACTCGAGGGTCATCTTCTCATTTTCTTACTTAGACGCTCTTGTTCTGCCCCAAGGATGGAGCGACTGGGGTCAACCCCTCCGAGATTCGTAAGTAACCCATGCCCTTACGAAATACTAACGACCGCTTTTATTTTAAAATAGGAATAATTATTGTCATACATGAAAAATAATACTTTTAAAGTCTAGTAGTGTCAAAACACGACAACAATTACTCATATTTTGAGAATAAAAAAATGATAGAATTATTTTGGAATATATATATGTTTTTAATCCTATTTAAGGTATTTTTTTCTTTTTGAAGCAAATATTTTAATCTCACATATCTATTTAAATCTAATTTAAATTTATGGCCGGGTTAAAAGTAATTCCCATCCAAAAGTCACAAATTGAATATTTGTTTTAGCGGCTTTTGTCGACCAGAATTTATTCTAGCAGTATTTTTGAAAATATTTTTAAACACCCTAATTTTGTAAATACTTTTCCATTTAGCATTATTTTGAGAAAAAACTCACATTAATTTCTATTTTCTAATAATTGATACGAATTACTATCTCCGTTCTCTTTTAATTGCAACATTAGACTTTTTGCACTATTCACATATTCTACTTTGAGTGTATTTTATTTATCAATGTGTTATAAATTAAATTTTTTAAATTTTTTTTAAATTCCTCTCATTTTAAATTTTCAAAATCTGATTTTTTTTATTTTTTTACTAATAAGTAATGAAAGATATTAATGGTCAAATTTGTGCATTGACAAACGTGAAAAGTGGGCTGTTGCAATTAAAAAAGAACGAAGAAAGTATAATATTAAAATGAATATTGTTCAATATGGAACCAAATCATATATAAAGCTCGATCAATATTGCTCAATAATTGTATGTGTTTCTCCTTTAATTTCCCTTATCTATCAAAACCTGATTTGTCTGATCATAATATTGATGAGGTCGCAATCTATAACCTTCTTCTTTTGTGAGTTCTTCAAATGACATTTAATTTACTTGAATTGTCACATTATCTTTAACGTGTTTAATTATAGTTAATTAAGTTTCACTTGTGGATGTGTAATTTTATAACCAAAGTTTGCTAAATTTTGTCCAAAGGTTCATTGTGAAGTTATATTGTCGGATACCTTTTTTCACGTGTTTGTATATACACAAACACTACAAAAATATTATTGTACATTTATCGGATTTAATTTGGATTTGGGTTTTAATTTGGATTGATTAATTATGACGTTTATTATGTACATATATTCAGGAAAGTGTACTATGGAGAGTACAAGTGTAGTGGGCCGGGAGCCAACACCACAAGAAGAGTGCCATGGGCCAGAACCCTCACAAAACAAGAGGCCTTGCCATTCATTGGCCCGTATTTCATTCATGCTCACTCCTGACTTCTCCAACCTCCAACCTAACTCTCTCTCTCTCTCTCTCATAATACCTATTATTGTTTGCTATTAAAGTATTAAATGATAGTTAGCAAGTTAATTTGTTGGTGCTTGTCACTTAATGTCTGACTCTCTTGTTATTCTTGGTGCTTAATTGTCATAGTTTATGAGTTTGAGTGGCAACTTAATTATACCATTACACATTTACATCATCTATATGAATATAAAGGAATATGTGTTCGTACATTATTTTATTGCTCAAGGAAAAATTAAAATTTTGGAATTTTTTATGGTTTATTACATAGTGGCATCTCAATTTTTATGAGAGACTATACTACTACATTGTTGTCCTAATGTTACATCAAATTAAATAGGTAACATTAACCCAAGAGTGTTACTTATTTCAACTATTGTAGCTATGTGATCATATATTGTTTTCATCATCTAATGTATTCTTGTAGTATTTTCATTTACATGTTTTTTTTTCATTTACATGTTATAATTGTAGTTTCATCTTCTTTTTATTTGTGCAGTTGATCATTCTTCAATTCTGCTTTTGCATATATACGACATTATAATGATTTTCTTTTTTGAAAAACTGTGTTAGTTATAGAAGTAGAAGTTGAAGTTTACGAGCTCATGGAAAAAACTATATTTTTAGAGAAATAATCATTTGTTTATATAATGATTATGCTTTTAGGATTGGTTTTGGACTCAATATTGTACTTTAAGGAAGAGAGAAAGTGGGATTGATTTTGGGGGAAGTGTTCACGGAATTGGTCGGATAAACCTGCAAAAAAGCGTTTAGAAAATAATGCAGCTCGAGTAGCGTAAACATTGTCCTCAAGAAAGTATTTCCTACTAGAGAAAACCTTTCCCCAAGATAAAACGAGTTTTTCGGCGTAAATCGGTAACAGAACAACGAGAATACAAAACAAATAGTAATCCACCGGAGTGAAAATATTAGATGATGTTTAGCTCAACTTTATTATGTATGAACTAGTAGCCAAGTACAGTAGTACTCCATCAAAAGAACCTACTCACCTTAGCCGCATGCTAAGTATATATATATATATATATATATATATATATATATATACACACACACACACACACATATATACATACATATATATATATATATATACACATATATACATACATATATATATATACATATATATATATATATACATATATATATATATATATATATATACATATACATATATATATATATATATATATACACTATATTTAGAACGTACGTTATAAATATGCTTTAATAAAAATTAAAGCTAGCAACAATTTTAAAAACTCAAAAGAAAAACTCATTAATGATCAACAATTGATCAATAGTTTGTAACGTTCTAACATAATGTTAAAAAACTTATTTTCATTATAGTTATTATTTTATTATATGTATATGATGTAAACATTTATTAATAAATTAGTGTGTGGAAAAATAATTAAAAGATGTAACATTTTATTCAATTGAAATACTCCCAATTTTTCCAACAATCCCCCACATATTTCAAAATGAATATTTTGAGAATATTGAAAATTGTTTAGAAAATTTCTGCTGGATTAAAGAAATGAGATTTTAAGTTTAGTGTCCGTAGACTATGAACCAAACGGCGACGATTAAGTCTTAATACACCGAGCTTTTGGTTAAACGTATAGTTTATTGAACCAACAAGTTACTATTGATAAATCAGAGTCTTAAAGGTCGTGTCTTACCCCGCACAATTTCTCGTTATTACACTGTTGTGCACCGTAAGGCTATGCGTGTGTTTGGTGTTCATAAGTGCTCTAGAAGTTTTGTCATGCTTCATAGAGGTGGCCCCACCTCACAATCGTATAGGTGATATCATTGGGGGAATCCGGTGCACTCTTTTTCCCTCATTAGGATTTTTTCCCACAGGGTTTTTTCTAATGAGGTTTTTAACGAGGCATCCCCCCAAAATGAAACGAAAAGCGTCAGCCTTCGGCCCACAACAGCAACTACTCTACTCCTTTTTACCACTTTACAAGTGCCTCAAGGAGTGGGGGACTGGAGGCCCCCTCGGGAAAATCATTAAATTACAAAATTAGTGAAATTCCAACAAACGACAAAGCAAGCCCTCAAGTCCCGACATGTGGGTAACTGAGGGACTGCCTTCGGCAGGGACATAAAAGCAACAACTCCTCACCAACTTCAGAGATCACGACAGGACAACATCAAAGGGCAAGCACAAATTACTCCTTTTCCCTCAAAATACCTTTCGGCAAAAGGAGTGAGGAACTCCTGATGGAGTATATGGCCCGGGAACACCCGTCCCACAGACTCCTACTACTCCAGTAGAGGCCCAACAGGCCCAGAAGGCCCAACAGGCCCAAATCACGACGCCCAGAGTACCAAGCAGCCCGCAATACGCACCAGGGGTGCCTTCGGCCCCCTGGCCGAAGGCTCCAAACTATCACAGCATGGATATTTCGAACAAACAGAGGAACTGGGAGAAAACGGCGAAAATAGTAGCCCTCGGCACCTGGAGCCCTCGGCACCTGGAGCCCTCGGCACTCAGGGGTCCTCGGCACTAAGAGCCCTCGGCTAGTCCTCTGCAGCCCAGGGCTCCTCTCCCGACATGATATCCGCCTCACATGCGTACAGATCACCGTACCCTGTACAAGACGTCCCATCCAACAGCCGCATTAAATGCGGCCACATGCGGCTGCCAACGCCAACCAGTTGAGGTGATCCCTCGGCCAATAGGCGCTTGACACGTGTCCCTGCCCGGCATTTATTGCTACTATAAATAGCACCTCATTTCCCCATTTGTAACCACGCTGAAAACGCTCCACATTTATAATACACTCTCTCTCTCTACATTTACTTGCTCTGACTTCTCTCTAAGTTATTCCCAGCAATAACCCCTCGGATATATACCCCCGGGTAGACTATCCATCACCTTTTTTGTAAAGAATTTGTGGTTCACAACATTTCTTACACATTTCTCTCTCCTCTGCACAACTCTTCACCACACAATACTCACTATCTTAAACTGTGTGTCAAACCTGTTTGGAAGTTATAATAGGAACGGAGGGAGTACGTGGTATATACTCCCTCGGTCCCAAAAACAACTTCCCACTTTCCTTAAATGGATGTCCCAAAATTAACTTCACACTTCTTCCCACTTCCTTATTTGGGAAATTATCTACATCAAAACAGTGTCAAACAGTGTTAAACAGTTTTCAAACAGCGTCAAAATAGTAAAATTTACCCCCAGTAAATTTATTTCCTTAATGTATGTGAAAAACGAAGTGTGAAGTTGTTTTTGGGACGAATGGAGTATATATATCTTAAAAATTCTCACATTTTTTAATCATACTCCTCATAATTTTCTCATCAAAATATAAGCATAGTACTCCGTATTGCGTAGCACTTAGCTCGGGACATGTATAATTATATGCATGGAATTGCGGACATGGTTTGATGAGCTAACCTACTTTTGTGCCTGACTTTATTTTGTCCTGGTTTGACCGCCTCAAATCTCCGACCTTTGACCAACTCAAAATAGGTGCATATATATTGTCCTGAGTTGATCTGTCGAGGTCTAAATTCATGGATTTGCCCCACGTGGCACACGTGCGCTATTACAGGCACCACTTATATATTCACCACACACACTATCCTAGCTAGCTACTTGCATGCAAATTAAGCTCCGATCCCATCCCAAACATCCCCAAATAAAGCAATTAATTTAATCACTTTGGCTAATTACTACATACTCTTCAATACAGTGTGGTTATTACTATTATTATTTTTACGGAGTATTTCATTACCGTATGCATGCATGTGTACGTAGTACGTGCGAAATAAACAAGATGGCTAATGATCATTGCTATTTTTATCATATTACCAAAAAGTTGGAATCAATTAAGTTGTTAATCATAGTGATTCTTCTGGTTGATCGTCAGCGATTGGGAGCCATAGGCGGCGGTGGCCGGAAAGATAACAGCACTTCCGACCACGGGCAGCTGGAGAAATGGAACTTGATAAGGAGTTATGGGCGGAGGATGATGATGACGAAAGGATCCGCCACCATTGTCAACCGTGGTGATGGTGGTCGTGGTGGTGGTTTATCTCCACGGCTAGACCCGAAGCTGAGGAATGCGGAGATGAATAAGATGGAAATAAGAGTGAGTCAAGATGGGAAAGGAGACTTCAAGACCATCCAAAAGGCCATTGATAGCATTCCACCCCACAATGCTCGGAGAGTCCTGATATACATTCATCCCGGCCTCTATAGGTATCACTGCTCGAGATTTTTATCTATGTTTTACTCCTATTTTGAGGGATTCTTTTTTTTTTAAATTCTATAACTTCATCACATACCAATAAATATGTTGTACTTGTACGTACAACACCAAATGTTGTCGTATATCTTAACGAAATGGGAGGATTTGACTATGCATCCTGTTTTGTGGATGATATGGAACTTTACAACATATTTTTAGAAAAATTAAGGAAAAAATGCAAAAATGCACATATAGAAAATTGGACGCATTAATTAAAAGATTCATATGAATCCTAATTAAGAAATTATTATAATTATATACTATCGTATCAAACAACTTAAATAAGACAGAAAACTTTGAGGTGAGGCCGTGAGGGACGTGACTGAAAAATTTGAAGCTAAGAACAAAAAACTGATGAAACCTAGAGGGTAATTAAGAACTACTGTAATAGATAAAGACATCGTGTAGTACTAAACATACCTAATATAAGACGGTCACAAGTATATATGAATTAATTAAAAAGAAGAAGAAATAGAATTAATTACAAACATCCCACCTAAAAAATTTAAGGTGTTTTTTTATGGGAGAACTATCAAATAAGTCCTCGAAATTTAATAAAAAATGCAAATAAGTCCTTTTATAGGAGACTTTGTCCGGCCGTCATCATTTGGGGTAATTTATTCATACCAAATTTAAGTTAAAAATTCAATCGAGAAGGCAGTCAAATGATTTTCTGAAATATACTGCGCTTTCTAACTGCGCAGTTATCTTCAAAAATTCATTTGACTACCTTCCCGATTGAATTTTAGATGAAATTTGGTATGAGTAAACTAGACTTAATTAACAAGATGCTCAAAAAATTCATCAAAATATTCCACCGGAAACCACCCCAAATGGTGACAACCGGACACAGCCTCCTATAAAAGGGTTTATTTGCACTTTTTATGAATATGCTTGTACTTATACAAAAATGTTGAATTCCCTGCCATTTGTGTTGCAGGGAAAAGGTCCACATATCCAAAAAATTGCCATTTTTGACGTTAATAGCCGGGAATTCAAGTGATCCGCCAAAGATCTCCGGCAACGACACCGCCTCCGACATGGGACGTGACGGGCGGCCCTTGAGGACATTCCATAGCGCTACCGTCGCCATCGATGCCGACTATTTTGTTGCCGTCAACATCCTTTTTGAGGTCATTATTTAGCTCCATCCTGTCACTCCAATTTATGATTTCATCCATCCATCAATTATACACTTAAATCATTTTGAAATATTTTAAACATTATTACATAATAATATTATAATGTTAATTTCATAGTCGGCATGTGGCCACATTTAGCCGGTGGTTAGATGCGACTTCCCGTGAATTTTTTTGATAAAGTTGTTTAACATGTTCTTCAAAAATTGTAGATTATGCATAGAAAGTTTCAGCTTAAAATTTAATCGGAAAGACAGTTGATTAACTTCTCGATTAAATTTTAAACTGAAATTTTCTGGAAATAATCTACATGTTATGAAGAACACGCTAAAAAGATTTCCACTGAGAACCGCCTCAAACAACGACGGACGGACAAACGATTCTTTTCCTTCCAAAATATCGCATAGTTTTTAGTTCCATCATTTATTGGTCTAAGTACAACTTTCCACCAACAAAGACAAAAATATCAATGAATGTGAGAATGTGGAACCATAGGTGTTTTCTTCCTAAATACTACTCCGTAGAATATAATTATTCTTTTTCTTAATTAAATAGGAATAAAGTATACTTCTTGTACTGAAGTAGCTATTAAAATTTGTTAAATTTTGATTGAAGTTGTTGCAATTTGTTGAAATTTGATTGAAATTTGTAAAATTTTGATTGAAGTCGTTGAATTGTCAAGTACGTGTACGTGAATACGTATGTGATGATGTTAAATCCATATATATATATATATATGCATGTGATGGATAGTGCAGAACACGGCGAAAGCTGACGTGGGGAGATCGGTGAACGGCGAGCAAGGGGTGGCGCTCCGAATCACCGGCACCAAAGCCGCCTTCTTCAACTGCGGCTTCTACGGCAGCCAAGACACCCTCTACGACCACAAGGGCCTCCACTATTTCAAGAACTGCTTCATCCAGGGCGCCGTTGACTTCATTTTCGGCTACGGCAGATCCCTCTACCAGAACTGCCACCTGAAGTCGGTGGCGCAGAACGGCGTCGCGGCTTCCCTGACGGCGCAGAAGCGGACGGCGAAGTCGTTCGCTAGTGGTTTTTCTTTTACCAACTGCACCGTCACGGGGAGCGGGTCGGTTTACTTGGGCAGAGCTTGGGGTGATTACTCGAGGGTCATCTTCTCATTTTCTTACTTAGACGCTCTTGTTCTGCCCCAAGGATGGAGCGACTGGGGTCAACCCCTCCGAGATTCGTAAGTAACCCATGCCCTTACGAAATACTAACGACCGCTTTTATTTTAAAATAGGAATAATTATTGTCATACATGAAAAATAATACTTTTAAAGTCTAGTAGTGTCAAAACACGACAACAATTACTCATATTTTGAGAATAAAAAAATGATAGAATTATTTTGGAATATATATATGTTTTTAATCCTATTTAAGGTATTTTTTTCTTTTTGAAGCAAATATTTTAATCTCACATATCTATTTAAATCTAATTTAAATTTATGGCCGGGTTAAAAGTAATTCCCATCCAAAAGTCACAAATTGAATATTTGTTTTAGCGGCTTTTGTCGACCAGAATTTATTCTAGCAGTATTTTTGAAAATATTTTTAAACACCCTAATTTTGTAAATACTTTTCCATTTAGCATTATTTTGAGAAAAAACTCACATTAATTTCTATTTTCTAATAATTGATACGAATTACTATCTCCGTTCTCTTTTAATTGCAACATTAGACTTTTTGCACTATTCACATATTCTACTTTGAGTGTATTTTATTTATCAATGTGTTATAAATTAAATTTTTTAAATTTTTTTTAAATTCCTCTCATTTTAAATTTTCAAAATCTGATTTTTTTTATTTTTTTACTAATAAGTAATGAAAGATATTAATGGTCAAATTTGTGCATTGACAAACGTGAAAAGTGGGCTGTTGCAATTAAAAAAGAACGAAGAAAGTATAATATTAAAATGAATATTGTTCAATATGGAACCAAATCATATATAAAGCTCGATCAATATTGCTCAATAATTGTATGTGTTTCTCCTTTAATTTCCCTTATCTATCAAAACCTGATTTGTCTGATCATAATATTGATGAGGTCGCAATCTATAACCTTCTTCTTTTGTGAGTTCTTCAAATGACATTTAATTTACTTGAATTGTCACATTATCTTTAACGTGTTTAATTATAGTTAATTAAGTTTCACTTGTGGATGTGTAATTTTATAACCAAAGTTTGCTAAATTTTGTCCAAAGGTTCATTGTGAAGTTATATTGTCGGATACCTTTTTTCACGTGTTTGTATATACACAAACACTACAAAAATATTATTGTACATTTATCGGATTTAATTTGGATTTGGGTTTTAATTTGGATTGATTAATTATGACGTTTATTATGTACATATATTCAGGAAAGTGTACTATGGAGAGTACAAGTGTAGTGGGCCGGGAGCCAACACCACAAGAAGAGTGCCATGGGCCAGAACCCTCACAAAACAAGAGGCCTTGCCATTCATTGGCCCGTATTTCATTCATGCTCACTCCTGACTTCTCCAACCTCCAACCTAACTCTCTCTCTCTCTCTCTCATAATACCTATTATTGTTTGCTATTAAAGTATTAAATGATAGTTAGCAAGTTAATTTGTTGGTGCTTGTCACTTAATGTCTGACTCTCTTGTTATTCTTGGTGCTTAATTGTCATAGTTTATGAGTTTGAGTGGCAACTTAATTATACCATTACACATTTACATCATCTATATGAATATAAAGGAATATGTGTTCGTACATTATTTTATTACTCAAGGAAAAATTAAAATTTTGGAATTTTTTATGGTTTATTACATAGTGGCATCTCAATTTTTATGAGAGACTATACTACTACATTGTTGTCCTAATGTTACATCAAATTAAATAGGTAACATTAACCCAAGAGTGTTACTTATTTCAACTATTGTAGCTATGTGATCATATATTGTTTTCATCATCTAATGTATTCTTGTAGTATTTTCATTTACATGTTTTTTTTTCATTTACATGTTATAATTGTAGTTTCGTCTTCTTTTTATTTGTGCAGTTGATCATTCTTCAATTCTGCTTTTGCATATATACGACATTATAATGATTTTCTTTTTTGAAAAACTGTGTTAGTTATAGAAGTAGAAGTTGAAGTTTACGAGCTCATGGAAAAAACTATATTTTTAGAGAAATAATCATTTGTTTATATAATGATTATGCTTTTAGGATTGGTTTTGGACTCAATATTGTACTTTAAGGAAGAGAGAAAGTGGGATTGATTTTGGGGGAAGTGTTCACGGAATTGGTCGGATAAACCTGTAAAAAAGCGTTTAGAAAATAATGCAGCTCGAGTAGCGTAAACATTGTCCTCAAGAAAGTATTTCCTACTAGAGAAAACCTTTCCCCAAGATAAAACGAGTTTTTCGGCGTAAATCGGTAACAGAACAACGAGAATACAAAACAAATAGTAATCCACCGGAGTGAAAATATTAGATGATGTTTAGCTCAACTTTATTATGTATGAACTAGTAGCCAAGTACAGTAGTACTCCATCAAAAGAACCTACTCACCTTAGCCGCATGCTAAGTGTATATATATATATATATATATATATATATATATATATATATATATATATATATATATATATATATATATATATATATATATATATATATATATATATATATATATATATATATATATATATATATACATACATATATATATATATACACATATATACATACATATATATATATACATATATATATATATATACATATACATATATATATATATACACTATATTTAGAACGTACGTTATAAATATGCTTTAATAAAAATTAAAGCTAGCAACAATTTTAAAAACTCAAAAGAAAAACTCATTAATGATCAACAATTGATCAATAGTTTGTAACGTTCTAACATAATGTTAAAAAACTTATTTTCATTATAGTTATTATTTTATTATATGTATATGATGTAAACATTTATTAATAAATTAGTGTGTGGAAAAATAATTAAAAGATGTAACATTTTATTCAATTGAAATACTCCCAATTTTTCCAACAATCCCCCACATATTTCAAAATGAATATTTTGAGAATATTGAAAATTGTTTAGAAAATTTCTGCTGGATTAAAGAAATGAGATTTTAAGTTTAGTGTCCGTAGACTATGAACCAAACGGCGACGATTAAGTCTTAATACACCGAGCTTTTGGTTAAACGTATAGTTTATTGAACCAACAAGTTACTATTGATAAATCAGAGTCTTAAAGGTCGTGTCTTACCCCGCACAATTTCTCGTTATTACACTGTTGTGCACCGTAAGGCTATGCGTGTGTTTGGTGTTCATAAGTGCTCTAGAAGTTTTGTCATGCTTCATAGAGGTGGCCCCACCTCACAATCGTATAGGTGATATCATCAAGTGTGTACCGCTTTTGCACACCACCCTATATTTCTAGCCTATATTTCACATCATGGAAATGAGCAATTTTAGTTAGGCTAGCAGAACTAAATGAAAGAGTTGTTATTACCCATATGAACTTGCTTCATGGGAATCTCCAATCACACAAGTTGAGTTGTCATCCTCATTTGTTTCAAAGTGACACTAGTCCCACTACTAGAATAATAGCTATTTGATGCGGTCTTTTTTGCCTATTTGGTGCGGTTATGAACCGCAGCAATTGGAGGGGCAGCAAATAGTGTGAAAACCTATTTGTTGCGGTTCAGAACCGCAACAAATAACTGTTTTAAAACATCGAATTTTGACTTATTGGAATCGCAGCAAAAAGTCTAAAAAACCGCAACAAATACTCTCTATTAATGGCACATTTTTTTGTTTTACGATACTAACTAAAGTTGCAAAACTGATTTTTACCAAAATATTTCTTGATTACAAAATAAGAAGCAATTCATTTCTGCCATCCAAGTTTCTCATCAACACGAATCAATATCATAATTCCAAGAAGAATTAAATAATAAATTGCCAAAATTCATAATGAATACAATACAAATTACCATCTTGTTGTAAGTTTATCATCCCTAAAAGCTTAAAAAAATTATCACACAAATTCATGGCCAAAGCATCACGAACTCAATCAAAACAACACGATAACTAACATATGACAGTATTATGTAATACTACAAATAGAGAGTATTATAAATGTGCACTCAGCTTCTTTTCGAGCAGCTTTGCAAGCTTGAACATCCCCTGTCCTTGAGAGATCACGCAGTGATGATTCTAGTTTATCATGAATAGTCAAGCAAGATCTTATGATGGTCTCAACTTTCTCAATAACAGTTAGCACCTGGAAAACAAAGTAAATAAACAGAAGCTTAATAAGAAGAAATTATGCATGCATATAAATTATGCATGTGAGGAAAAAGAAGAAAAATCCAGAAATTAACATCATTGGTTCCCTAAGCAGTGAGAAGCTGTTGAACCGGTAATACACCTGTTAAACAAAATAGATAAATATGAAGTTGTGATGAGGGTAAAAACATAGGAAAATGAGAAAAGGCAGTCAATATGCACATGTTAATGTAAGCTCTTTCTGTGAGGTAGAGTGCATGATGATAAGTTATATGGGACATTATTGGAGGATTACATTCCAGTCACTCTATTGTCAGACCCTGAACAGGTTATGCCCTTCCATGACTCTCCACAAGGGTTCACCCTATTAACGTTCCATTTTGTTAGTTGTGGTGCTAAGCTCAAGCTGGAAAACAATGCCCTCAGAATGTTTGCTGAAAATGGAAAAAACAGGAAGTCTCCCTTTTACTACTTGTGTATGCAGAATTAATGCACTGTGATATGGAGTAGATTTTAATATTCCGTTTTAATCCCAAAAGCAGAGAATAACTTAATTTAGGAACACGTTAAGTTGTTCCTGAAAACCTTTGAGATGTACATTCATAACTATATATAGACCTCTGTGGGGACAGAATCAAGCTAACTCCTTCTATGAAAAGCTCAAAGCCTCAAACTGATAATGAAAGATTAAAAAAGTCCCCAAAATGATTTTTAAGTTTCTAAATACAAATTATGAAGTAAAAGGACCATTTTTCAGACATTACTTGAACCGGTAAGCCATCAAAGAAGAAAGTGAAATAAGTAATCCCGCACAACAGAGAGAGATGCAATGTTTCAACAAATGAAACTTGAGAATGGGATTATGGGAATCTTCCTTCTTTAACCATCAAAACCTTTTGATGAACCAGGGAATATTTCATCTTTAACAAATCCAGGCCTTAACAAAGGAAGTTGTCGTCTTTTGCAGCCCAGAAAGTGTATAAAAAGGGAATATTTCATCTTAGACGTATTTGTGAGTGTCTTCTATGTAATTGTGTTACAGAAAAGTGCTTAACATGCATAAGAAAAAGTTTTTCAGAAAAGTTTAAAAAGTGTATCAACAAAAGATACCTCTAAAGTGTTGTTGACGACTTTTTCCTGCAAGTTAGACCAACATCAAAATCAACCTTATGGCTCAATGGATTTTCAACCTGTGCAATGACAAATAAACAGCTTTGCCTCCAAAGAGCTTGATAAAATTCTCACATCAATACAGATCTTCTCACCTGAGGATAAGAATAGACCCCAAAAATACACACACAATAAATGAAAATAAATATGCACTAATAGAGATGTTAAAGTTTTAGTGCATTGTAATTACCACTCAGTCTTTCCCAGTTGTGGAAACATGTGGTATTCTGTTATTCTTAGTTGCACTTCCTAGAGCTTCATGAAACTGGTCTGCAATTATAGTCTCAGGGACGACACTTTCAACACGCAAGTGTGAGTTCATGTTCATGGAATCATGAGCATTTTACCTTTAGGTCATACATCTCAGCAGCACCAACAAGTTTGTTTAGAGTAGATTCTGGAATAGACTTTTCATTCTGTCCATTCTCACGAGTCTGTGTACAACCCCTTATCCTTTTTGTCATAGGCATCATCTATACATATAGCAAATAAAATTCATAAAAAGCTCATCAAACCTTAATCCCCCAAAACTGTGCACTAATCCTTTCATAGGATGAATGAATGTAAAAACCCCACTAAAGAGAGTCAAGCCTCCAAGTGGACTTATCACCAACAGTGAACACTGATCTGTTGATGTAGAAACTGCAAAACAAGAACACCATAACATTAAGAACTTATACATTCATTTTAAATAGCAAATAAAATCAAAATCTGACAACTTTTTACCTAACATATAACACAATCTCTTGCATCAGTTGAAGATGAACAGGAGCAGCTACACATCTGCCACGAACCTTCACCTTTGTAGAATTCACTAGTGGAATTAAGCATTTTGTCCATTCCATTGGAAGTCGACCAATCTGGTGTAAAATAAATAGAGTAAATTAAATATAAAAAACTACAAATATATTAAATTAAATTTTATTCGATAAAACATTAATAAAAAGAGAGTGAAGGTTACCTCTCCAAAACGTTTGGTGGAGAACCTGACAATAGACAAGGAGCCTTTCGCATACTTGGGAGTATTTGCAAAAGTTTTAAAAACTGTTTTAAAAGTGATATCAAAATCCTCATTCTCCACTCTGTCTGTTCCAAACGCTAAGGAATCGTTTGAGATGTCTTGCACATCCAAACACTATGAAACAAATGGAGGAAGAAATCTCTTCAAGCTTAGAATTTTTTTTAGGGAAAACTGTCAAACCGCCGACGCGGTGTGAGTGTGTAGAACTAAAGTCTAGGACGACGATGCTTACTGCGCTTCTGCGGCAAGCCAAACCGCCGACGCGGCGGACCATCGACGGCACTAGACAGGGTCTTGACAAGGCTGCAATACTAGTCCTCAAGTGTCTCACTCACGGTTTCATTAAGCGCGTCTT